TTAAACAGCTGTTTAAGCTGTTAGTTTATGTGTATTTTGCTTCCAGATGGTAAGTGGTTCACAGCAACCTTGATGTTTAATCAGCAGCTTAAATGGTAACAGGCAAGGCTGTGAAAAACTACAACAGTATGTTTCAAAAGGTACATATACTCAAATGCTTGTTTTTTTTTTTTTTATATAACCTGAATTTATAAGCCGGTATAATTTTAGTCCAAAATTAATTGAATTTACAGGTTTGAAGTCACACCAATTACGCGAAGGAGTTGAGACTTGAGACGATAAATCAAAGAAATCCAATTAGATGACAAACTGTGTGTAAACTTTCCCTCAGGGCAAATACTTTAGCATTTCCTTTACTGTACAGTATGTTTGTTAGTGTGAAACTAATAAGCGCAGATCTTCCATCCACATTACATTTAATGCAGGTTATTCATAAAAAGCTTCCAAAGTCAGGATCAGTGAAAAACAACATCAGTTCTCCTGCAAAAAGCTCATTTGAACACCTTCATTTTTAATGAAGAGGCTTAACAATTTACAGCGATTCTGCTGCTTTCTGCAAACTCATTTGAATATTTTTCTGAACCAGCTGTTTACCAAATGTGAAATTTATGGATGGTGCTTCTTCAGGTTTAATTGGAGATGGACAGAGAGCACAGATCAAAAAGCCAACATCTGTGACTGTGTGTGTGTGTGTGTGTGGGGGGGGGGGGTGATGGTGGCATGACTGTCTATCGGTTGGGAAATTCAATCACCTTTGAAGACACAATTAATGCTGATTGAAACAAGGTTCAGAGCAAATACTTCTGTGATATTGACAACAATCCATTCAATTAAATGGGAGAACAGCAAGATTTGTCTGTAATAGGAAAAGGTGTTAAACTGTTTAAACAGTGACTGACTGGATATATGATTTAGATTAGGACTTCCAAACTACAATACAAAAATAAAATGTTAGATTTTAAAATCCACTTAACCCTATAATGCCAAATGTATCGTATTTGATACATACGGTTTCTGAAATGTTTTGCGTCTGACACCTTTTTCATAATTTAATGGTAAAAATTTTGCTCAAAATCCTATTGTACACAATCAGATATACCTGATAACAGCCAGTAGAAGACTACACAAAATAATCTTGACTTATCGCATAATAATAAATTATTAATATCAAAAATGTATTTCTGTTTTTTCTTTTTACATATTTTGTTAAAAGGCCAAATAAGGAATTCAGACCAAAAAAAAGTAATTTTTTGTTTTGTTTTATTCTTGGATCGGGGTTTAAAGGGTTAAGGGAAGAGACTATTTACATTTATTATAGCAAGATGACAATTAAGGTTGTTTTCTAACTAACACAGCTAAAGGAGAAATTCCCTGGCAACAAATAAAAGATCATTCCAAAATAGTTAAAAAAAAAATCAATCCACTGGACTTTGCTTCCAAGTTTGAAGATGTTTCGCTTCCCATTCAAATAGTTTAACTTCAATCACAAAACAGAAAAATGTTTCTCACCCTCAAATCCCCTCCCATTCTTACTATCAATAAGCTCCTCATTGGTTCATAAAGTAACTGATATTAATAAAAACATTAGCCACACAATTTAGCATTTAGAACCAAATAAATTTAATTGAAAAGTCTTCAATTAGACATGCTTGATACGTTGCAATTGCTTCCCAAATACTTTTAAAGGTTGCATTAAGAGGAATTCTGTTTTGGTATTCATATCGGATATCGGCCAAAATCCCAACATCGTGCATCCCTAATATTTATCAAACATTATACTGGGCAAGTAAAAATTGTTTCTGGGCAAATGAAATGTGAAAGTCACTTGCCCAAAGGGCAAGTGGTAAAAATCCTTAACGTCAACCCCTGAACATGTATATGAACAATATATTATTGTAGTTCTAATCTATTTGAAATGGTTAAGACGTTGTAGGAAGTTTGTAGCCGGCTTTATATATGTGGGGAGGGTCAGGGATACAGGCAGCAGTGTGTCGTCCCCTTATGCAGTAGAGGTGTTCTTCATTATCTAGGAGTGCTTTGAGGACAGACCTTCATCAAGTAAAGTGTGTTGATGTCAGGCGGCGGGTGCAAAGGAGCTCATGCCTTTCATTACATTAACAAAAAGATGCTTCGCACAAAAAGGACATCCCCTTTTGGTTAATGCACAAGGAGTCTCAGTCAGGAATTATGTCCTTAAAACGCTCAGAGATAAGCCAGCTCTAGATAGTCCAAGATCACCATATGTCAAGAGCCGCTGATAGGAAAAATCAGCCATTTCACTAATGACTAATCTTAAAGCTTAAAGGAA